CCTCCACCCTCAGCCCTCCATCTTCAGTTCTACAACCTCAGTCCTCCCTCTTCAATTCTACAACCTCAGCCCTCCATCTTCAGTTCTTCAACCTCAGTCCTCCACCTTCATTTGTCCACCCTCAGTTCCTCACCTTCAGTACTCCAACCTCAGTTCTCCATCATCAATCCTCCACCTTCAGTTCTACACCCTCAGTTCCCCACCCTCAGTACCCCAACCTCCATCCTCCACCTTCAATTTTACACCCTTAGCCCTCCATCTTCAGTTCTACAACCTCAGTCCTCAATCTTCTGTCCTCCACCCTCAGCCCTCCACCTTCAATTCTACACCCTCAGTTCCCCACCCTCACTACCCCAACCTCATTTCTCCACCCTCAGTACCCCACCCTCAGTCCTCTACACTCAGTCCGCCACCTTCAGTCCTCCACCCTCAGTCCTCCACCTTCAGTCCTCCACCCTCAATCCTCCACCTTCTGTCCTCCAACCTCAGTTCTCCACCTTCTGTCCTACACCCTCAGTCCTCCATCTTCTGTCCTACACCTTCAGTCCTCCACCCTCAGTCTGTCACCCTCAGTCCACCACCCTCAGTCCTTCATCTTCAGTCCTATACCTCTAGGATCTCAATGGGATGTCTCCTGGTTTCTATAGACCTGGATCTATCTCCATCTTAAATCCATGAAGGAACATCTTCAAGAGTAGTCTGAACCAACAGAAACAACAATATTCTCTGAACCAGTTCTCTGAACCAGACCTCGGAACCCTCTTTGAGTTTGAAAGTGAAACGCCTTCTGAAAGAAAGAAGCGGAACTAAGGAGGGCCACATGTTTAGGACTCCTTGTCATGATCTGGTTTTCTTCCAGGGTTTAGTCACATCCATTACAGTAAAGACCTCCATCAGTTGAGCTTCTTGGCTCATTAAAGTCATAAAAACTCAACTTAATCTGGGAACAACGGTTTGGATTTAACTGGCTCTTAAAAGCTGAGAGAAAGAAAACATCCAGAGTTTCTCTCCAGCTCTGATCTGAGGTCAGGTCTCTGAGGCACCAGGTCCAGGAGAGAAACCTAGACCCCCGTCTCTCCAGAGACGCTCTTCTCTCGCAGGACCCCTAAACCTAAAGTCAGATTTTATTTATCATAAACATTTATTTTATGTTTTCCATTTTATGCCTTTATTTTCCTTAAACTGGATTAAATCAGTTATTTTCATTTTTTCAACTAATTTTATAATGAAATGACTAAATGATCCTGTTTTAATCCAGACTCATCCTCGAGAACAAAAATTGAGTCAGATAATCTAGACAATAATCCTAAAGCTTCTTTGGATTCATGCAATAAACTTCAAATGACAGTTTCAGATTATTAGATTATAATATTCAGTTTATTAGATTATTATATTCAGATTATTAGATGATAAGATTCAGATTGTTATGGATTCCTCAAGGCTCTGGATGATTACTAGATTATTATATTCAGATAATAAGATTATTGTACTCAGATTATAAAATTATTGTACTCAGATTATTATCCTGCAGGTTCAGCAATTTGGATTTATTTTCACCAGAGTAAATCCAGTCAGTCTAAAAGTTCCACCTTTGAAACATTTTCAGAAAATGAAATGTTTGATTTTTGCTTTAAACCAAACGGGCCGAGGTTCGGACATTTTCTGGTCCACAGAGTCCTGGACTGAAAGGAAAAACTTGGATCGGACAAAGCCCACCTTGATGTCAGAACCGAACTCCCAGCTGGTCCCGCGGACCGGCGGCAGCAGAAACGGTGTTTATAGAGAGCGGCTCGCAGCAGCTCCTGGAAGAAACTGAGCTACGTTCAGAAGATTCCACATTAAAATAAAATGAGCTGCGAGTCACTGCCGGCTCCTCTGTACAGATGTTGTGTCCACAACATCTGTACAGAGACAGAGGACACAACAACTGTATGGAGACAGAGGACACAAGATCTGTATGGAGACTGAGGACACAACAACTGTATGGAGACAGAGGACACAAGATCTGTATGGAGACTGAGGACACAACATCTGTAAGGAGACAGAAGACAACAACTGTATGGAGACAGAGGACACAACATCTGTAAGGAGACAGAGGACACAACATCTGTATGGAGACAGAGGACAACATATGTAAGGAGACAGAGGACACAACATATGTAAGGAGACAGAGGACACAACATCTGTATGGATACAGAGGACACAACATCTGTATGGAGACAGAGGACACAACATCTGTA